AGATTCATCCATAGATATTTATGAATTTCATCAGTATTATACCTTCTGTGGTCAGCAAGACTTACCTGAGGTTGGTGGGCATGTACTAGCACCAATATCTATGTTCAAGCTCAAGAAGGCAACAGACAGCAGCAGCAGTGACACTGCAAGCATGTTAAGATGTTATAGGAATAATTATAGTTTTTTCAATGCTAATAATACAGCATATGTTACCATAGAAATGCAATTAATTAATTAATTAGCTTAATAATGTTTAATTTGTTAATAATTGATGGGCGTGTCTGTATCACGTGAAAATTTGAGCCGCGCCCCTTAACGAAGTTGACTTGAAGTTCTAAAGCTGTGACTATAGACCCTGATTTGAACTAGCTTCAGAAGTAAAGAACAAATAGAGAAGGATATCTTATTATATCTTATTTCTTTTCAGGAAGGAGGAGCGGGAGCGAAGAACTATTATAGACGCCATTTAAAACATGGCTGATATTGAAAATGGAGGAGGAGAGAAACCTGAGAAGGAGTCCATCATTATTAATTCATTCACCAAGTCATTTAAGAAGATACTCGAGAGAGACTTTGATGAAGAATTTACCAAGGAGTTAGTATATAATAAACATGTATTAGAATTTACCAAGGAGTTAGTATATAATAAGCATGTATTAGAATTACTTTTCATTATGGGTATTAGGTAGTCATGTACATATACATTGTATGGGCTAAAGTCCCTGTACTATAGTACAGGAACTTTGGCTGAATTTTGCCAAAAATGAAAAGGAAAGAATTCTTCATTTTTATTACACTTTTTAATACGTATGCATGTACTTATGTTGTGTAGAAAGTTTGATGTTATTCCAATGAAAATTGGATTTTTATTACTTATTAAATTGCTCAAAAATTTGGCCAAAGTCCCTGTACTATAGTACAGGGGCATCGGCAAATTTCATCAAAAATGGCTAGGAGAGAATTCTTCATTTTTATTAGATTTTCAGATACATATACATGTACTTATCTTATGTAGAAAGTTTGAGCTTATTCTGATCAAAATTAGATTTTTTATGAATTTTAAAAGTATTATTCCGAAATCTGAATACACGTATAAAAAGGTTTAATTCTCAGCAAATGAAGCTCATGCTTTTTAGCTCATTTAGCATCCTTTGTGGGAAATCCTTATATAGTAATCACAAGTATGTGTATGCCTACCTGTATTATTGTTGCTGCATTTTTACTGCATTTTTACATGTATCTAGTGAATGTACCTGTGTATTTATACATGTACATGCATATTACAATGTACTATGTGCAGTTATCCATTGACCTGTGTATTTTATACATTTCCTTATCTCTCTCTAGTTCTGTTGATAAATTGAAAAAGACAAAAAAGAAAAAGAAGAAGGATGCTAATAAGAAAGAAGTAAGTGCCACCTGGCGGTCCCTTTGATCTTACTATGGTACATGTACATATGTACGTGTAGATTAGAAATTTGCAAAAAATTGATCACACATTATAATTACATTGCTACATTCAATAATACATGAAACTCTTTTATTACTTAAAGAATTAAAAGTATATATTATACATATATATGTAGTATACATGTAATAATGTATAATATATATTTTAAAGTAGATGTATAAATTTCTATCTCCCTCTCCCTCCTCCCTCCCTCCCTCCCTCCCTCCCTCCCTCCTTCTCTTCCCCCCTCTCTCTCTCCCCCTCTCTCTCCCTAGACCACTCCAGCTACTCCTAAAAAGCAAAAAGAGAAGAAAACTGTAATCCGCGAAGGAGACAACTCTCTAGTCACGTTTCCAGCTCCATCATCATTCTCTGTCTATTCTCAGATTCGTCACTTTGTCCTACAGCAGGACCTATGTGACATGTATAATGGCCGATATGCCGAAGATGATGGAAGTGACGAGGAAGAGGAAGAGGAAGAGGAGGAGGCTGAAGAAGGAAAGAAGAAAGCATTACCGGAAGTAAGTACAACCATTCATTTACCGTGTAGCGGGAAATTTTGGAGGGAGTTAAATTTGGCGAATTGCTTAATTTTAGTGATGGCGAATTTTAATTTGGCAAATTTGTGGCTGCGTGCCATTGAGCATGCGTATAATGGCTCAAAATGGCAGATTTTAATGTAAATTTTATCTAATTTTTTACATCTAAAATTACATTTACTACATACATTTAATATAAAATTAATTACATCTTCATTGCTGCTTTTCCTCCATTAGGTTGTTAACATTGGTCTGGTGGGTGTGTTTAGCATATTAGAAGAAATATGGCAGTCTAATCCTGAGCTGTGCCACCGGGTCCTCACTGAGTTTCTTAATATAATGCAGGGACAGTCCCCTGGGGGACTGAAGAATGAACCAACTGAAACTACAAGTAATGAAAAGAGGGAGAGAGAGAGAGAGGGGGGAGAGTGTATGAGAATGT